CTAACCGCTAGGCCACGTCCTTGTTAAGACACAGCCACGAACTGTATCACCTCGAACCCAGACTCTCTGATCCGCAGAGTGACACGCTAACCGCTAGGCCACGTCCTTGTTAAGACACAGCCACGAACTGTATCACCTCGAACCCAGACTCTCTGATCCGCAGAGTGACACGCTAAACGCTAGGCCACGTCCTTGTTAAGACACAGCCACGTATGTTTCCTTCGCTTTCTAAACTGTGCAAGAAAACGTTCCTAATTCTAAGTTACTTAAATTAATTCAAACTCATGATCTTGTTTCATATTCTTACCACTAAATTACACAACGTTATCCAATACAGAATAGTTGTGCAGATCAGAATACACACAAAACAAATACTTTGTTATTACAGAGATTAAAACTTTAAATAAACATTACGCACATAATATTCAAGGAAAATCTTTAATGTTTGTTCACGTATAAAACTAAAGTAAACATCCTCAAACGCTGACACTGAAAATCGTTAATCTTTGAATCAAATAATTCATGAACTTGGGGATTAATAGATTATAAGGATAATTCTTGTTCGCGGATGTTTACATGCTACACTAGATGTAGATGACTGAGTCAAACATTTCTAGTTTCAGTCTAGCCTGGAATTTACCAGATGTTTCCGTCGGGAGTTAGCATCATGTTGTTGAGTTGGGAGATGTTTCACCGTTAACTTTGTTTGTTTGTTTGTTGTTTTTGGAATTTCGCGCAAAGCTACACGAGGGCTATCTGCGCTAGCCGTCCCTAACTTAGCAGTGTAAGACTAGAGGGAAGGCAGCTAGTCATCACCACCCACCGCCAACTCTTGGTCTACTCTTTTTACCAACGAATAGTGGGATTGACCGTCACATTATAACGCCCCCTCGGCTGAAAGGGCGAGTATGTTTGGTGGGATGCGGATTCGAACCCGCGACCCTCAGATTGTGAGTCGAGCGCCTTATCCACCTGGCCATGCCGGGCACACCACCGTTAAGTCGGGAGATAGCAATATACTGTTGATTTCGATGTTTTAGTGCTGAGTCAGAAGTTAAAAACATACTGTTGAGTTAGGAGATGTTGTTTCATTATTATTGAGTCGGGGATTTAGACATTTGGGGAGTCAAACTAGAAAAAAAAAACACACTTTACTGTCTGTCCCGTTTTCTTTTCAAAATAATTATATCAAGCCGCCATATGATTACATATTAAAAACATGGATTTCTTTGAATTAAAACAACCACATTAGATTTTTAAACAGGAACTTACCTCTTTGAGGCGAGACTTTCATGTCATACCCGAAAGGACTTAGCCATTCGAAGAGAAAGATAGTGAAAGCTGCCACTTGAATACTGACAAGTAGGATTAGCAGCCAGGACACTGTGTCGAACGGTTCTGAGAGGATAAAGATGTGTTTATCATCAGCGACGGAAAAAGAAGTTGAAACTGAACTTCCGCCTTCAATCACGTGGCCAGAAACGTCATAGAAAAATGGGATATAGTATGTTATCTGTTTACTTTTAGAAAAGGACATGTCTAGACGGGAGATCATTACGGGCGATAGTGTGTAAAGAGGAATGGGGGGCCTGGGTAAACTGGCTGTCATAACGTATACTTATTCTTCTTGAGTAACAACAGTGGATTGACGAATCCAGAAGGTTGAGTTCGTTAGATTAAAACGACTTTGAATATACAAACCAACAAGTCACGTGCCAAACATAGACAACATAACGTGGCGGTGAAAAAGCATGTATGAGAAGTAATTTTTGAAATTGTTAAGCACTGTGTAGGTAGTGCTAACAACGGGAATTGATCGCTTTTGGGAATAGGTAGGTAAGAGTTCTTTCCGACAAAAATATTCATATACTCTGATCATAAAGCTGTATTCAGATCGAGGATTTAGAATTTCGAAGACAGACAGATTTCTTGTACTTAATGGCTTTGAAAACCAAAGGAATATGGATCAATTTGGAGCACCAGGACCATCTCGAAAATGAACTGTAACAAAGTCGTGCCGCAGCCGTGGTAAGCAAAGTGTGACGTCTTGTAACAGAACACAACGGTCAATGAAAAAAAGCTGTTCACGTGTCCCAGACAGCAGTACGAGACATAATCAACAATAAACTCTGTCTGGAAGAGCGACATAAGTCACGTACATAAGTTGCTTCTATGATATACCCATTCAACCATTGCATATCTCAAGCAGCTGTAGATATTCAGGTATTCATGATCTTCCATAAATATATATATATATATAACGTTTAAGCATATGGATTGCTATACGATCAGACTATTGAAACGGATGCTGGGAAACCATCGTCCAGATGGATCAGGGAGAAGTGGTGTGCATTTGACATGATAGCCTTACGACGGAGTCTTTTGCAACGGAAACTACACTTCAAGACTGCCAGGTACAAAAAGGTCAGACGTGTCAATCCAAAGTCATTTCAATATAAGGTACTCAACCTCTGTATGAAGAAAAAAGAAAAGGCCGATCGCGTGATGTACCACTGGTTATTCATTTAAATATTACGTTTTATTAAAATAGTTTTGGTGAGAGGTATAGGGGAGTGCTTAAAAATAAACAAGCTGATTGTTTAATGAATGTCTGTTGTATATGTTAAAACAAGATGGAATCCTCAGTAGCCGCGGCAATTTAAATTATTTTAGGCAAGATTAGAGTAAATTAATCTACGATACCTTGAGGGGGGGGTGCAATACATCAATCAAAAGGGTGTGTCCTCCCGAGTCCAAAAATGTAATTAGATCTCATATTGGTCAAGAGATGATGGAGCTATGAGCTAAAAGTTTATACTTGAAAAAAAAACAAAAAAAACTCAGAGCCGTTTTATGAGCCGCTATGCCGCGGCAAAAAATATGTTTAAGAATATGACTCGGCCACATTATCCTTAACAAAGGTAATTCAGATAACGAATCATAGGTGCTCGAAATTCTTCTTAAGAAACTGGACTAATATATCAAACGTAGATATAAAAATAAAATAAACAAAATAAACATATAGATTCTAATATTATTGAGAGGTCGTTATAATGAAGCAGAAAGTAAACAATGAAAAACATACAACACGAAGAAATGCCCGCTGTATTAATAAAAAAAAAACTCTTTGAAACCCTAAAAAGCAAACACACACACAAAGAAATAAAATACACACGGATAGTTAAATAAAGCTAGCTTTAAAACCTCCATTTTTTTTCAAGACTTCAAAGTAAAAATCTTTAAACAATCTATTGGATTTTAATACCAAGGAAGGCTTTGGGGGAAATTATCCCGGTTCGTTTAGTGACGACGATAGTGATGCCAGTCTCGAGGAACGGAAGAGTGAAGTCGAGCGCTGTTTGTCGCTCCGAGTTGATTTTGAAACTGGTGACGACGACATCTGCTCGACCTTCCACGATCTCAGCTATCAATCCGTTCCACGTGCCGTTCTAAAGATGGTAAATATCATCAGAACATGAGCACATTTGGGTATTCACATTAAAAAGTGGATTATCATATAAATTTTTTGTTGTTGTTGTTTCAGGAAATACATGTATATGATTTCGTTATTTTTTTTTTTTGGTTTTAATCTGTTTTCATCCATTAAGAGTATACAAAATAGAAATGAATAAAAATCCTATAACCCGAGCGCTTTCGAAAGGTGGACCCCTGAAGAAAAAAATGTCCACCTTTCGATAGCTCTTCGGGTTACAGGGTTTTTAATTCATTTCTATCAAGACTTCTTGAACCTACGTGTTTTTCTAACATGAATAGGTATAGCGAGTTAAGAAATAATCGTGAAGCTTAGATAAGAAAAAAAACAAAGGCCCATAAAGATATTATTAATATCAAAAGGTAACAAGTTGTAACCTGCAAAATCCGTTATTTGTTTTGTTTTGCACAACGCACCATAATGGGCTATCTGCGTTATGCTTACCTAAAAGATCGAATTTAGCGTTGCAAAACCTAAAGATAACCGCAGTGCAACGTTGGAGCACAACGAAAGAAAAACAACAGGTAGATATAAAGGTAATTCAATACGAGAAGCCCAAAAAGTCATTCAATTTAACTTCAGCTTTCTAACTGAATATCTAAATTTTCTTTTACATTCAGAATCTATACTTTAAAACAACAAACAGACATTGTTTGTTAAACCTTCTGAGCTGTATCAAAAGTCCTGAACAAGACAGTGTGCCTTTCTGTATCAGTCTTCACCAAGTGCGTGCGCATGAGTTTAAATTTAGTATCGCTGTTGGGCATGCCAAACTACACACACATATTGTGTATATATATATATATATATAAACCATATTAACACACGTACATACACCATATGCATCAAAATACACTCACCAAAATGATCGCGTCCCTATGATTCGTAGAGTTATTGGCCCCTTACACGCCCCTGGTTTTAGGGGCCATCGAGCACGAATTACCAATCTTACAAGTTTGTGTCTCTTTTTATAGAAATACACTTCTTTGAACTAATAATATTGAAGGGGGGGGGTCAGTATAGTTCGGCACATAAAATTACAAATTGGTAGAAACAAAGTATCGATTTAAACGATCGTCACATTTTTCCAGATCTTGTAGAAACGTTTTCATTGATAAATGTGATGTAAAAAGGCTGCCTGCAACGAGATTCGAACACATAATTATGTGAACCCCCGGCCTATTTGTTTGTTTCCTTCTATATTATAGGTACTTAGATCGCTTATAGATACCGAACTTATAGATTGCAGCTAATCAACGACACCCACCAACAAACAACTCTTGGACTGTTATAATGGGATTTGACCGTCACATCTATAACGCACCCATGGCTCCAAAGTGCAGAATGGAGTTAATAATCATACGTAATGACCCTTAAATATGGATTAGATGCAGGTGCCTTATTCGATACCATTTATGGGTGTAACGACTGCGAAAAGAAAAAAAAATATAATGTTTGGTTCGGTGGTTATTGCCTTCAACTGTTAGTATGGCACCTGAATTCATCTAATTATTCTCAGAACAGATTAACAGAATTTATAAATTTCTCCTTTAATGTATTTAAGATGAGATGGCATCTTAAAATATTAGATATATAACAAAAAGAGTTGATAAACATTTTATGACTTCCGTTCGTGTGTTACAACCCGCATAGCTTTGATTAGGCTTAACATTCCCTACACAAAGATCTATGTACATTTAAATCTCCGGATCTAACATTTCAGACAGTAAAAAATTCAGTCAACTTTAACATTTTCCTACACAATAATAGTGAAGATAATTTAATTTACCTCTACAGGTCCAGATTTCCAAACGGTAAAAATTCGGCTAAACCTAGCACGCTCCAAACACAGAAACTCGACACTGTAGATATTTACCTCTCCAGATTCAGTTCTTTAGTTAAAAACATAATAATAATTCAGCGTATTTAAAGTTTGTATATAATTTTTCTTTCCACATCCTAAAGAATAATCCTAACCCACGTACATTTAGGACACCCCAAATTCCGTCCTCCACCCGATAAAGGTCGTAAGTAAACCCGAGGTCAGCGGCAAATTTTTGGAGAAGGTCAATGCAGAAACCAGAGCAGCACATGTAATACTTGGGATTTCGTATGGCCAAGGTCATGTTGACTCTGAAATTAAAAATAAATTTGAAGTTATTTCAAGATCTGTGTATTCTCCGAAAAAAAAAAGTTATAATAACTACAACTTTAACAAAAACGACTCAGCTTGTAGCTTTGGATTATTCACTTAAAAAGCTCTTCCAAAAATTATTCACCTCAATATCTTTTCCAAAAACCTATTTACCTACATTTTAAGGTTTCTCAGACTTTATCGGTGTGTTTGTCTTACTACTTTTTCCAAAACTTAACTTCTGCAAAAAAAATAAAAAAATTCAGGGCTGTTTAGTCGTTTTTGGAGTTTACGTAACACCTTGATTTTTACTAACCATATTTTTCTGTATTTCAATATTGTTAAGCACTAAACTACAATCTGAACTTTTTTAAACTACGGGTATCGACCCCCGATTTTCAGCGTTGTAAGCCTGGTGACTCCCCGTTGATTATTATAATGTGATTATTCTAAAGAAGTGAAATTCTCCTTAGTCCGATTAAAAGTTGTCAATTAGGGAGAGAAACATTGAGTAGAATGTAATAATTAAAGGCGAAAGGGATGATTTAAATTCATTATTAATCGCTTACGAAGAAAGTTGTATACTGTGGTGTTATATTATGAAATCGATTGAAATTCGGAAACATTTAGACACGTTTTCCGCTAGACGAGAATATGTTAATTAATTAGATAACTAGCGAGAAGAGGTTGGCTCTTGACAGTTGTTGGTATTCGAAAAGTTAAAACATACCGAGAACAAACCCGAGTCGATGACAAACTTCTTAAGGCCTTTACACTGGGTGGACTTGTGTGTAAACCGTGTCAAAGGGTTACCGACTACACTGAACACGTTGTCATTACCAGACAGTTTAGAGGCGTGGAAGATACGTTTACAAAACTCTTCTTCATGTGAAAGCTTTATTAGGAACGAATATTCTCTAGACTTTGTATTTTCAACAATTTTCATTAGAACATATACCAGAAATGAATAACCTGTACAAAGTTACGTTGATTCTCTACCCAACCTTTATAGATATCTATATATTTTCCAATTTGTAAAGCAGAACAAAGGAAAAATTCTTAGTTTGTTTCAAAGTGGTTTTGATCAGTTGTTTAATAGTTGAATAGAAAATTTGGTTAGAAGGTTATGTTTACTTAAGTGGTGTAAATGGTAAGCTGGAACTAGTGGGGGTAACCTTAGAAGGTTATGTTTACTTAAGTGGTGTAAATGGTGAGCTGGAACACCAGTGGGGGTAACCTTAGAAGGTTATGTTTACTTAAGTGGTGTAAATGGTGAGCTGGAACTAGTGGGGGTAACCTTATAAAGTTATGTTTACTTAAGTGGTGTAAATGGTGAGCTGGAACACAAGTGGGGGTAACCTTAGAAGGTTATGTTTACTTAAGTGGTGTAAATGGTGAGCTGAACCAGTGGGGGTAACCTTAGAAGGTTATGTTTAGTTAAGTGGTGTAAATGGTGAGCTGGAACCAGTGGGGGTAACCTTAGAAGGTTATGTTTAGTTAAGTGGTGTAAATGGTGAGCTGGAACCAGTGGGGGTAACCTTAGAAGGTTATGTTTACTTGGTGAGCTGGAACCTTGAAGTTTGAGACAGCGGAGTAGAAGGTGAAAGTGAAGTTTACGTTGTACAAGGGTCAAATTCAGTAAATCGAAAATCCATAGACTAAAGCTACGAATATAGGTATGGTGTGTTCGATAAAATCAAGAAAGGAATTTGCCTTAGTAGGGGGGGGGGGGGAACTGGAATTTAATTTGTTTGAATAGAAAGGAATGGTTTAGGTAGAAAGAAGCGTTGATCAATGGAATGAAATTAAACTGATGACGAAATGAATGGAGTCTTAAATAATGGATTTTGAAAATTGTGTTGGATGGTAGAACAAAGATAGGGATGGAAGCCAGAATCAGAAAATTCAAATGTGATAGAGTGTAAGGTTTGAGTCCAGCGGCGTAGGTGGGATGGAAGCCAGAATCAGAAAATTGAAATGTGATAGAGTGTAAGGTTTGAGTCCAGCGGCGAAGGTGGGATGGAAGCCAGAATCAGAAAATTCAAATGTGATAGAGTGTAAGGTTTGAGTCCAGCGGCGTAGGTAATTCAATGATGCGGTCACCAAGTGTTCTTAACAAATTGATAGCTCGAGTTAATTTACTAAATTTTTCTGCACTTTACTCTCGGTTCTCATAAACATATTTACCCAACCAATTCGGACTCCGGTGCAACTCGGCAAGGGACTGCCCGGTCTGTCTTACACTCTCCAGTCTCGTTGTCTGGCGGGACAAGGTTCACGTACGGAGGTTCTTCCATAAAGGTTATCTTCAAGTTGAATTTTTCTGGCACCCCCCTAGGAGGGACGGGACTGTCCCCAGGCCAAACTATGTCCTTAATTTCTAGTTTTCCAGCTGTCCATGCTCCGATCTATTAATAAAAGAATACGATCAACTTATGCCTTGCCAAAGACGTGAACAAGCACCTTTCATAGCCTCACTTCTGATAAAACAGGTAAAGTGACTGACCTGGCCAGGTGAGAAGTTACTCATTAATTTAAAGTCTGGTTTTGTTTTCTCGTTTGTTGTTAAGCGCAAAGCTACACAATGGGCTACTTGCAAATTGCGGGTATCAAAACCAAATGTTTAGCGTTATAAAGATTCAGATTTACTGCTGAGCTATCGAGGAGACTGGAGTCTGATATAACTGGAAAACAGTTAATCACTTAGCTTGAAATAGAAGAGTATAAATCATAAGTTATTCGTTAATATTACATCTGGTAAAACAGTTAATTACCTAGCCTGGACAGGCAGGGTAAAGGTGATAAGTTATTCGTTAATATTACGTCTGGTAAAAGAGAAAAAAAAACGGTTAATTGCCTAGTCTGGACAGGCATGGTAAAGGTGATAACTTACTTTTTTAATATTACATCTGGTAAAACAAAAAAGAAATTACTAGCCTGGACAGGTAGGGTGAAGATGATAAGTTACTGGTTAATACTACACTTGGTAAAACAGAAAAAAGCAGTTAATTACTTCGCCTGGACAGGCAGGGTAAAGGTGATAAGTGACTCGTTAATCTTATATCTGGTAAAACAGTTAATTACCTAGCCTGGACAGGCAGGGTAAAGGTGATAAGTGACTCGTTAATATTACTATCTGGTAAAACAGTTAATTACCTAGTCTGGACAGGCAGGGTAAAGGTGATAAGTGACTCGTTAATATTACATCTGGTAAAACTGAAAAGAGTCACTTACCTGATCTGGTACGAGAGTGAAAAGCAGATGAATGATTTGCTTATTCCCTTAAGACAAGGTTTAGAAGACACGTGGTAACCGTGCAGGAGTTTACACGCATATTTCACATCTATTGATTAGACCTTTACTAGACGGAACCAAAACTTATCATCAGCGTCGGTAGAGAAGTCAGCATCAAGAGTAAACGAGGAGTTAATTAAGTTAGGCCTGACAGAATTAAGTATGGATTAAATGGAACGAGGTGGGCTTATCAATCACTTGTTTTTCTCCAAGCTGATGATAAGATAAATTTTTTCCACTACTGCTGATATTAACACCCTCTGGTTGCGTATATCACACTGTAGCTATTTTTATTTAGAGTAACACAAGCATCTAATAGGTCTGATATAACAAATAAACAGTGTCCCTAACGATGAAACGACTTGGTTTGGATTTCGAGTAATGTTTTCGAGGGATATCTGCCCTAGCCGTCCTTAATTTAGCAGTGATAAACTGGAGGGGAGGGAGCTAGTTAACACCACCCATCGCCAACTCATGATCTACTCTTTTACCAACGAATAGTGGGATTGACCGTCACGTTATAACGCCCCCACGGCTGAAAGGGCGAGCATGTTTGGTGGGAGGGGGATTCGAACCCGCTATCCACAGATTGCGAGTCGAGCGCCCTAACCACCATGAAACGATACACTAGACCTATTAGTAAGATATACTGGTATATTGTGGAACACATTACAGAAGTCATCGTCTTGTTGTTGTTGTTATCAAGCAAAACGTTTAGAAATATTTCAATAAAAATATAAATTTATCGTTTGTGAACTGTTAAGACATCTTTCCGAACTTACAAAATATTTTAGGTAACCATGGAAACTCATTGGTAATAATTTATTCACGACCTTTTATAAGTTAAATTAGTGATAAAAGTAACAGTTGATTCATTCTTAACTGACCAGAAAATCATGTTTTGTCACTGCTTGTTTAAATACTCCAAATTGTGAATCAAACCTCAATTGAACATAAAGTTGAAATAATCCTGGTTTATCTACACATATATATAAAGACAAAATGTGTGTATGTTCACACTCTAACTCCTCCGAACCTATTGAATCAATCTCAACCAAAATTTATATGTAAAACACAATGAATTATAGGGAATGTCCTGAGGGGTTCAAAATTGAACTTAACCATATTTCTATTTTGTAAAGCCTGTTAAAGGCTTTACAAAATAGAAATATGGTTAAGTTCAATTTTGACCCCTCTTAGTGCATAGTGTATACATACAAATTTTGGTTGAGATTGACTCAATAGGCTGGGAGTAATTTACTAACAGGCTTTACAAAATAGAAATAGGGTTAAGTTCAATTTTGACCCCTCTTAGTGCATAGTGTATACATACAAATTTTGGTTGAGATTGACTCAATAGGCTGGGAGTAATTTACTAACAGGCTTTACAAAATAGAAATAGGGTTAAGTTCAATATTGACCCCTCTTAGTGCATAGTGTATACATACAAATTTTGGTTGAGATTGACTCAATAGGCTGGGAGTAATTTACTAACAGGCTTTACAAAATAGAAATATGGTAAAGCTCAATATTGACCCCTCTTAGTGCATAGTGTATACATACAAATTTTGGTTGAGATTCATTCAATAGGCTGGGAGTAATTTACAATAGGCTGGGAGTAATTTATTAACAGGCTTTACAAAATAGAAATATGGTAAAGCTCAATATTGACCCCTCTTAGTGCATAATGTATACATACAAATTTTGGTTGAGATTCATTCAATAGGCTGGGAGTAATTTACTAACCATTTTAGTGCATAGTGTATACATACAAATTTTGGTTGAGATTACAAAATAGAAATATGGTAAAGCTCAATATTGACCCCTCAGGCTGGGAGTAATTTACTAACAGGCTTTAATTGAGTT